GGCTTATTGAAGTGTTTAAACATGCGGCCTACGTCCTGGGCAAACTCCTCCGGGGAGCTATAGGGTGGTGACAGCTTCTCTTGGAGGAGAGCATGGATCAGCGTCTGGTCCAGGGTACCATCAGGCTGGTCCAGAGAAGGTGGAGTCTGTGGCCAACTGGTGCAGAGGACGGCACGGCTCATGGCAGAACAGGGCCAGTAGGACACGCTCACACTTCTGCTGGTTGACTGACGAAAGCTTGGCCACCACTCCAGTGGTATCGGCCCCATCCAGATTGACGCTCCCATCCTCCTCCTTTAGGTCAGGGAGCACATGGCTGAGTTAGCAGCTCCACTCTTCCCCTGGAACATCCTGCAGAGCTGGCAGATGGCAATCAAAGTGGAAGCAGAACTCTCACTGGTTACACATAACCACGTCTCCTGGCTTCTGGCAACACGGCAGATAGTGGCACTGTCGTCCAGGGCGCCTGGGCCACCAGTTGGGGCTGAAGCACCCTCAGGAGCCACTACTTCCAGGCCCGAACTGGTGCTGCCACTGGGTGAGTACAGGCGGGGGCCCTCCACACCAGAACCCTCTGTCAGGGCCATCAGCACAGGCTTGGTCTCCGGGCCTTCAGTGGCAGCAGGTGGGGCTCCAATGGCCGCCTCTGCCTCTTCCTCCTTGACAATGGCCAGGCTGGGCAGGGGTGGGGCTCCAGGGGCCCCCGGGGGTGCAGTCCCAGGCTGGTCAGCAGCCGTAGCAGCACCATCACGTTCAATGACGATGAGATTATAGTCCTCTGTGGTGCTGCCGGAGAACACCTTGAACACGGGAGGCTGGCTGTTGGCTGTGAGATCCAGGTCCAGGCATTCAAGGCTCACGCGAGGCACCTTGCGCAGGAGGCCGCTCACCTCACCCTCACCTGAGCGGGACCGTTTCACACCAGACACATGAGGCTCTACACTCGAGTAGGGGTCATCTGACCCGAAGCCATAGCCTTTCTGCACGTCCATGGGCTGGCCGCTAGCGGAGCCCTGTTTGTTTAGTGGGCCAGGGGCCCGAGGCGGGGCCATAGTTGCGGAGTCCGTGGAGTGGGTACCTGAGCGCTCTGCCACAATCTTGCTGAAGGCCTCAGCACTCTTGGTCCAGGCATTGAGGTCCCACTGGAACTTCATCTCGACTTGTGGCTCCACAGGGTCCACGATCACCTTGAGAGCCTGGTGCATCTGGAAATAGATCAGCTTCTTGGAGAGCAACAGGGCTGTGTTGTAATTCCACAGGGCCCATGAGGCGAAGCGCAGAATGTGTTCCTGGTGCTTCTGGATCTCGGTCATGGTCCAGTGCTAGCATGTCTACTGTAGAAACTTTTACCTCTGTGGTTGGCAGAGTAATTGTTCTATGAAGGTGTGTATGCCCTTACTCCTGGAATCTGTGAGTATATTATATTACCTGGCCAAAGGGAGTTTGCAGCTATAAGTAAGGTTAGAGAAAGCTAGCTTAAAACAGGAATTGTTAGGTGCCATCAAGTCAGTTTTGACCCTGTGTAAGGTTTCTGAGGTGATATGTTTAAATTGCTGACCTTGTGGCTACCAGTGCAGTGCTTATCCTACAGCACCATTTGTTGTTGTTGTTAAGTGCCGTAGAGTCGATTCTGACCCATAGCAACCCTATAATGGGTTTCCAAGGAGCAGCTGATGAGCTTGAACCACCGACGACTTTGCAGTCTGAGGCATTAGTCCACAGCGCCACACCAGGATTCCTACAGCATCATACCAGGGTTCAAAACAGAAGTTTTCTACTAGATGATCCAGATAGGCTCCTTCTATCATGTGATCTCTTAAACATGGAGAAATTTCTCAGGCAGGGGCAGTATGGAGATGCAGTAGAGGGGGAAGTTCGAGTTTCAAGAGTGAGAAGGATTCAAGTACTATTGCTGACTCAACCCCATGTGAAAGGACTGGAGAGAGGTTTCTAGGGACCATGGAGGCTCCAGGTGAGTCAGCAAGGAGTCTAAGGAAGGGGGTTTCCCAGAAATTAAACTCCAGGAGCAACCTGAATGAGCTTGGAAAGAGAGTCTTCCTTCCCAGAGCTTCTGGATATGAGTCCAGCTGGCCACAGCTTGATTGGGCCTTTGAAATCAAGAAAAGAAAAACCAGTAGAGCCAACTAGGATTTCTTGCATACTGAAATGGGTGTTACTTTAAACTACTAAATTTGTGGCAATTAAAATACCAATAGAAAACTATACTTTCTAGGAGGACTCCAGTGTACATAGGAATAGAGGATATATAAGATTGCTACATAGTGATTCCCGGGGGGCCTCCTTCATCTACTGTGCATGAGAAAGACTTTGGTTTTTGGCCACTTAGCTAAGTTACATGTCCAATTCAGTGGCTAGTTTCAAAAATTCACCAGATTAAAATCTTTCTAGCCTCATCTGCTTCAAAAACATTTTCTCTAATGTCATAGTTATATCTCAAGAGCAGAAGATTCTATACCAAATCAGAAATTACTTGCCAGCCAATTTAGGGGGAAAAATACGGAGTGTGGTGGAGGCACTCAGGAGGGATAAGTGGGTGCCTAAATTTCACTGAAAAGGTGTAACTATTACATGCAAGGGGCTATTGCTATCAGAAGGGTTACAAGGTGAAGGACAGGACAAGGCAGGGTAAGGATGTAGGGAGTTGGATAATCTATGTCAAGGGATGAGCAGGTGATTCTGGGCTGTCTGTTCCACTGGGAGCAGGTGCAGCCTCCAGAAGAGGAGGCAGTGGAGAGTGCTGGTGACGGAGGTCAGGATGCAGACTTGGACAGATGAGGCTCGAGGCCCAAGGCACTAGCATTGTAATGTGGACAAGTGCAGGGTCAGCTCTCTAGGATCCTGGGGATATGGGTAAGATACTAAGCAAATGAAGTCCACAGAAAATCCCCCAATTGTGGTTGCTTCTCATTTTGACCCTTCTTCATTGTGTTTACTTTTTGCATATAAAAGATACTGGTCACAGGATCAGTTGTTTTTTTTGCATGAGAGTCCTTAGGGGGAGTAAAAACAGAAATTAAGAGGCCAAAAGTCTTCCTCAGGCTAAAAGGAATAGATATGCATGTGGACTTCAGACAAATCCAGAGCTGAGGATGAGTCACAACCTTGTCACTTATGATCCATGTGATCTTAGGAAAATTTCAAAGCTCTATGAGCCTCAGTTTCTTCATCTGTCAAATGGGCTTGAAAGTCACTTTGCCCAGTGCCTCATGTATACATTGTTAAGTATGACTGTTGGAATGTGTGTTATATAAAGGACCTGGCACAGCGCCTACCAAATAACTGACAGTTATACTACTACAATTTTGACCCATTGTTGTTGTTAAGTGATGTTGACCTACCAAATTGCTCTGGCATCCCTTCTCCCCCCCCCCGCCCCCAAAGAGATAGCTGAGAATAATATGCAGTAGTCTAGACATGGCATAAGAAATCAGCCAAAATGCTGCTTAGAAAATGAAATTATTTGCTAAATAACTTTTTGAGGATATCTCCTTACTGAAAGCATGAGGGAGTCTTCCCAAGCAAAAGGCACCACAAAGCTCTTAGGATTTGGGTCAAGGACTACCCTCTTCCCACTCTATTTCCTTTCCACCTAAACCACCTTACATACATTTATTTCACCCTCATCAAAAAATAATCCTTACTTATTGTTGTTGTTGTTAAGTGCCGTCGAGTCGGTTTCAACCCATAGCGACCCTGAACAGGGCTTCCGAGGCTGTAAATCTTTACAGGAGCAGATTGCCTCATCTTTCTCCCGCAGAGCAGCTGGTAGTTTGAACTGCTGACCTTGCGGGTCTCAGCCCAATTCATAACCACTACGCTACCAGAGCTCCTTAATCCTTACTTAGAGTTGGCTAAATTATAATCAAGATGCCCTAAAATCAATGCCATTTTAATGGAGTGGGCTCTGTTTCTCCCAGGCCAGAGCAAAGATTACCAGTCCAGTGGCTTCTCAGCATCTGAAGTCAAGTGACCAACCTCGATTTCTTAGAATCTCCCTGGAGATGACGTGTATGAAGCACACAGTTTGTGCATTGTATTCAATTAATAGCTCAAGATACCTTTCATTCATTCTTGCCCCAGGTAGAGAAATCTCTCTAGTTTTCCATATTCCCAAAGTAAGTAACTGCTAAATATTCCCGGTCTGTTTGCGAGGCTTTAGTCTGTCAGCTCTGAGACTTGCCATATGAGGGCATGGTCCTACTCACCACTCTTACAACCTCTTCAGACCCATTAACCAATTTAAGTTAAACACAATTTACATTGAGGGACTTGCAGTTTCTCAAGGCCCCCATATGCCTTGTCTGGGAGCATTTCAATGTGACTGCTCTTACCTGGGCCTGCCATGTCCTCACACCTTCTCTGTAGTTTTCCATGGGTCTTAAATTCACCATCTTCGTTAGATAATTTCTGCTTCCAAGGAGCAGATGGTCAATTAATGTTAAAGAAATAAATGAGCCCGCATGTAGAAATCTAATTTATTAGGATATAAGTCTTCAACATTCTTGAACAAGCCAAGCAAATTCAGGCATATATCTTTTAACTTAACATAAAAACACACTCAAAGCGTTAAGACCATGGATGTATTTATCATCTTACATTGTTTATCTCTATTTCTTGAACTCAACTCTTTTACTGTTGAATTTTTTCACATTTACAGGAAATGCTGTTTCTGCTGCTGCTAGCTTGTTTCAAGTGACTAAATAAAGTGGAACATTTTTGTTGGTTTTACAAAATAGTACAACACTTAATTTTAAAACTCATAAACAACAATAAGGATGTGTCTACTTTTACTCTTTATCTTAGACTCAGAGAGAAGGTTTAATAAACATTCTATTAAAAGGAAAAAGATTTGGAAAAAATTTATGTTATCTTACAGAACAGAAACACAAAGACGATAAACACTTTACTGCCGCTAGCAGCAACCTGGCTCTCTACTATAACACGACTGCCCTCTTAAAGCTCAATGTGAAGAATCTTCTTCAAAAGCTGGATGGAGCCTTGGAACATGTACTGGCTGCGGAGGTATTACGAGCCCTGGCTTGAGCTCTGGCTTGAGCTCTCTCTTCTTCTTCCTTCACAGCCTCTTCAAGACAACGGGGGAAGGCACTGGGGTCGGAATCATGGATCTTGGCCAAAAACTCCAGGACTTTCATCTTGCTGGTTTCAGCATAGGCTTGTGACCCCCACAGGAACTCATAGCATGGAGGATCACTGTTGGGCACCTGGCGGTACTCCAGATACTTCTGCTTCACTAAATCGATGGTGAGGAGCTTCTTGGGTTCCCCAAAGATGAAGTGCTTCCTGCCAGCATACAGCCCCATCATATTCAGCACTTCCCAGACTTGCTCCTCCTTGGCGCAGTTGTCATTCGAGAAAATCACACCAAGAACAGTCATCAGGATACCTGTCTTGGGCACGCCTATGTCATCACTTATCTTCCCACTGTAGCTCGATTCCAATTTGTTGACAAGGACATAAGTGTGGCGGATGGGATCCACTTCCTTCACATCAAGGCCAAAGATCAACTCCAAGTGCTCAGAGGCTTTCCTAAGAATCTCAGGGAATTGATTCTTATACATTTGAATAATATTTCTCAATATTTCAGCCTTTGTCACAGGCTCTTTCACTTGATACTTGTACAGCAGATAATGCACCAATACAACCACCTTCTTGCTGAGAGGACCTTTTTGCCAGCGCTCAATGATGGAGTTGCCCTTCCTAGAGCTGGGACTCTCCTTCCCTTGGTAGCTGGCACCTTCATCAGCAGCTTCAGAAGTGCTGGTACATGGAACACTTTGAGAGTCCTGAGGAGGACTGGCTGTCGGATCTTCGGAATGAGGAGAGAAGGAAGAGGTGGACTCCTCTCCATCTGCTGCAGTGTCAAGAACATTCTCCATAGCTTGATTATCTTCTCGAGCCTGACGGCGTTTTTCTCTGGCCCGGAGCTTACTCTTCTGACCCCGAGGCATGATGATCTGGTCAAGGACAGAAGCAGGAAGGCAGGGGATGCAAGTGCCTAGTAAAGAGATGACATGGTTTGCATACCTTGAAGATGGCAGTCCTGGTGTGGTACTGTGGGTCAATGCACTGGACTGAAAGGTCAATTTGAGCCGCAAGGTTGGAAGTTCAAAATGACCAGCTACTCCTTGGAAACCCTAGACAAGGTCACTATGAGCCAGAGCCGACTTGACGGCACTTAACAACAAGGAGGAGATACAACCTCTGCTCTTTGAAACCACAATACTCCTGTTTTTTAATCAGCCTGTTCCCTGAGAACCTAGTGGAAGTCATTATAGTATGTCTATCTGCCAATCCAGTTTAGGGGTTACTGGGGCTGACAGCTAGGAATGATAGCTCCAGGCTCTTTGGAGCACCCTCTGTTCTAGAAGCAGGAAATGTTTCTCTGTTTAAATTCAGTACTTACTTCTTGACTTGTGGCAGGACCCAGGAACTCTCTGCTATGATGCTTTGATGTTGACCCCACATACCAAAGTCTTTTCCAGAGAGTGTGGAGCTTGAGTGAAGGAGCACTTTCTTTGATCACATCTGCCCAGAGACACCCAGGGATGACAACAGTGGTAGACCTTTATTGAGAACCTGTATGTCCTGGGGTAATCAGAATTATGAGTCCATCCCAAGGTTGCCACCTTGGCTCCTGATAGGGACTGAGGCCTCCCTAACTTCCTCCCTCCAGGACCTCAGGGATGTGAGCCCCTTGCTCTGAGGGTTGTTGTTGTTGTTGTTAAGTGCTGTCGAGTCAGCTCTGACCCATAGCGACCCTGTACAGGGTTTCCGAGGGTGTAAATCTTTACGGGAGTAGAAAGCCTCATCTTTCTCCCGCTAGAGGTATCAAATTAGCAGAGGGGTAAAGTCCAGGATCCAAGGTGGCTGCCCTTACTGGTGTTAGTTGCCATTAAGCCAGCTCTAACTCATAGCAACTTTAGACCAAGGTTTTTCACCTATCTGACACCCTGACTTGGAGTGAGTAACCATCTCATCCTGCCACGCTTGCCCAGCATCTCCCAGGATTAACAGTAGAGCAGCACATGTTATTTCTATGGCAGCCTTCTCCTCTCAGGCTAAGAGGTTCCTTCAGTTCTCAGATTCTTGCACTTGACTTCACCTTGTTTGACTGAGTCTTCTCCCATGAAATGAAGGAGTGTCTCAGTTTGATAGCCCTGACCAGGGTCTTCCAAAGCTGAGAGAAAGGACAGGGCTATGTGGGGTCCCCTCTGTTCTTGGGTGTATAGTCCTCTCTGTTCTCGGGTTCTTTGTGCAACCCTCCCCCGCCTCCCCCCTGTGGACTGGGGACTATACCTATCACACAAAAGCTGTCATCTCCCTGATATACCCAAGGTGGCAATCAAAGGGAACTCTGGCTGAGAGATCTTCCCAGGGTCTCTCAAGTCTGACAACAAGAGTAGTGCTCAATTTTGTGAACTTGTCTTCATTTTGGTGTGGGTGGTACTCAAGTCCTCACTCAGAGTCCTTTCATGAACTACTGGAAGGGTCCTGTAATTCCTACCTCTAATGCGGGTGGGGGTGGGTGTGGGAGGGAGGCCTCTGGCCCAAGAGCAGTATGTTGTTGTTGTTGTTACGTGTTGTAGAGTCAATTCCCACCCATAGCAACTCTGTATAGGGTTTCCAAGTATAAGGGCGGTGAAATCATTTGTGCGGCCCTGCCAAGGCAGACTCAGTTCCAGCCATCACATTGGGGTGAGTTAATTAAAAGTTGGGGCAAACATGTCATTGCTGTTAAGTGCTGTCAAGTCAGTTCTGACCCACAGTGACCCTGTACAGGGTTTCTAAAGAGTGGCTGGTGGGGTTGAACCACCGACCTTGAGTTCAAAGTGAGATTGTGATCCAGCGCATTATCCCGCAGTACCACAAATAATAGCAGGCTAATATTTCAGTTGATAATTTTGTATGGCCTACAAATGATGTTATCAATTTTGGCAGAATAAAGGTTCCCACCACCACCCCCTTTTTTTTTTATTCACCTTTATTATTTATTCCCACCCATGCTCTAATGATTCGAATACACCTCTCAGACCAAGAATGTGTGTGCCTCACTCAGCCTTGGAGCACTCCTCATGGTCCCCCAGGGCTAAGGGCAAATGATGTTATGAATTTTGGCAGAATAAAGGTTCCCACCCCTTTTTTTTTTCACCTTTATTATTTATTCCCACCCATGCTCTAATGATTCGAATACACCTCTCAGACCAGGAATGTGTGTGCCTCCGCCTTGGAGCACTCCCCATGGTCCCCGGGCTACGAGCTTGGCTAGAACTCTGGGTAGCTTCCTATGCTCTGGAGCGGGTGGGCCCCTCAGATCTCACTCAGGAGCTTGCTTTAGTTTTCTGTTAGTTCCAGGGACTCTTTCTGCTGGTGCACTAATGAGGTGGGCACACTGGTTTAAAGTTGTCCCCTCCGGGAGATTTAAAGCGCATCACATTAAGCAAAACAAAACCGCCCACAAATGAAGCAATCCCTTCCTGGGGTCTCCCAGGGCTGATAGCATGGGTAGGACTCCGCGTCTTCCCTTATTTATTTCTAAGGCGTGCGAGCCATCAAATCATATTCATAATCCTTACCATGCCCCTTAAGAGTGCCTAGCTCTTTCCCCTGTGGTCCTAACCCCTCCCTGCCGCCCCCAGACATTATTTTTCCGAGGCACGGGGTGGCGGGGGGGGGGTAGTCAGCAGGTGCCATATTTATTGGCTGCCCGTCGTCCTGGACCGGACTCAGCCTCTTTTGGGTGGGTGGGTCCCCAGACCTCACTGTTATTTCTGTTAAGGTGGGGACGCCGACCTCTACTGGTCTGAGATACACATCCTGGGCCAAAGAGCTAACCTCCCCAAGTCCTCAAATAGTGAGTTTACCGCTTCGCCGCCGACAAAGTCCGAAAGCTAACACCTCTGAATTAGGCAACCCCCCCTCCCCCCCGCCCCGCTACGGCTGACTGCCGGCCCTGGCCTCTGCTGGGCCCCTATCGGCTGCACCCCCGGTACCCTCACATCCCACAGACAAGTCGGACTTACTGCCTTGAAAGGCCTAGTGAGCCGGCACCTTCACCTCACGCCAAGAACGCCTGTTGCCCACGACGGCAGAAGCGGAAATGTGGGTACGTCACATCCGTTCCCTCCCTTCTGGGGTGTCCAAGGCCAGATAGCAAGGGTGGAGCTTTGTACCACCCCCGCTTTTGGAATAGATGGTTCCCGCAAACCCCACTTGGGCTCCTCTCATTGGTGGACAGACCTAGAGTAAGATGGACACGTGGTCTAATGCTATTACTTCTAGAATCCCCAGAGGTAGCGTAGTGGTTACGAAACGGGCTGCGAACCTTAAGGTCAGCAGTTCGAAACTGCCAGCTGATCCGCGGGAGAAAGATGAGGCTTTCTGCTCCCGTAAGGATTTACAGCCTTGGAAACCCTGTACAAGGTCGCTATGGGTCGGAACCGACTCGACGGCACTTAACAACAACAACAATACCCGGCGATTCCTGTCCGGGGCTTCCCAGGGTTTCAGCAGTGGTGGGGTTCTGTGGCTCTCACGCAGGGTCTTTCCTTTAATTGCAGGCAGGACTTGCAACATCTCCATTTGGAGACCCGATAGAGAACTGTTCAGACCAATGCATCACTACTCCTTGACGTCAGAGACATAAGTTAGTAGAAGTCACTTCCAGCTATCCGTGCTGGGGACTTCCCTGGGTTGGTAGTAGGGTTAAGGCAACATTCAAGGTCACCCTCTGTTTTGGCATGGGCAACTAATTGACATTGAAGTCCTACAATTGCCTCACCCACTCTCAGTCATCAAGAGGGTGATGGGAAAGGGTGCCTGGGAGTAAGAGCCAGCCCTTTCTGTTCTGGAGTTGGCAGCTCCTTAACACTATGCGTTAATTTATCAGTGTTATTAGAATTTGGGGGTAACAGGAATACAAGATACACATATATTTGCTGATAAATGCCATGAGTCAGTTCTGACTCACAGTGACCCTATATACGGTTTCCATGGAGTGGCTTATGGCTTTGAACTGCCAAGTTTGCATTCGTAGTCCAGTGTTTATCCTATAATGCCACACACATATATATGAGTAGTGGTGTGGC